GTTGCCGTGGCCTGCTGAGTCCGCAACCTCCTGAACAAGAGGCTGTAGTGCTGGATCTGCCAGGAAACTGGCAACGTATGGGATGCGCATCCTCTTCCAGTCGGCGAAATCGGAAGCATCATCCACAGTGCTGGGGTCAGGTGCCCAAGCACCAGTAAGCGACCTCATCTGCCTCTCAAGTGGCAGTCGATTATGCAGGGCCGATGCGCTCGCCTCCACCACGTGACGATCCAGCAGCACTGCCGCCAGCAGAAGAGGCCCCAGCAGCAGTAGCCGAAGGCTCCGCAGGGCCCGAGGCGGGGCCGCCATCCTGACCGCGTCGCCTCTTGGCCTGGAGCCTGGCGTGGAGGGCCTGGGCCTCCTCCCGCAGCTTGAGGATCTGCTGAGCGGCGGGGCCCAAGGCCTCCTGAACCTTGGCCTGCACGCTGTTGGCGAGCTCCCCCTTGATGCGAGCCCACTCGGTGCGCTCTGTCTCGTCGATCTCGAGGCCCTCCAGGTCGAAGAGGGGGCCATCGACGAAGCGCAGCGAGCCTTCGTCGACGAGCGTCGAAAGGTTGATGGCCGTAGCAGCGGATGCCGTCTCCGACCGCGGCGTCGATGGCGTCGGGAACTGCTTGGCGCAAGCCTCCTCCCAATCGTGTTGGGCCTGGCGTGCTCCGCCGCCGCGTCCTCCGCAGCCTTGGCGTCGGCCAGCCAGGCCTCTCCCTCAACGACCCGCCGCGCACAGGTCTCAAACCGCGCCTGCGCGCGCCTGCACGCGATCCCCTTCGCAGAGACCTCCTCCTCCAAGAGGGGCGGGCGGCGAGGGGCCTCGGCGGCAGGCTGCTCCGTGGCGGCCAGCTTGGCGGACAGGGCCTCGAGCTCGTCGCAGTCGCCGAGCTTCTCGCGGAGCAGCGCGAGGGGATCGGCGGGCCGCGGGGCCCCCCGTGGCTCCTCAGGCGGCGGTCCGCCGCCGTAGGGGTACCAGCCTTGTCCATGCCAAACCCATGGGCGGCGCTCCTTCGGTGCACCCTTGGCGGCCCTCGGCGGAACAGGAGGGCCCTTGGAATGGCCCCCCCAGGCGGCGCCGCGCCCGCGGCAGTGTCGAAGGAGTTCGCCGCAAGCGTGGGCGGGCCGAACGACCACTGGCCGGTGGGCATCTTGTCGGGCGAGGGGTGCGGGACCATCGGCGAGCAGCACTGGTAGCACCAGTGGTTGGACTTGACGTACCACCGATAGCGGCAAGCCGAGCAGCTGACGAACGTGCCCGACTTATCCTTACCCTTGCCGCACGCGCCATTGTGGCCCACGTTGCGGCCCATGCGCAGACGGCCCTGCTGAATGGAGCAGGGCTCCTCACCTGGGCAGAACCAGGCGGAGAATGTGAAAGCAGCCGCGGACTAGCGGTATCCGTTTGGTCCCCTGGGGAACAAGGCACCTTGAGCCAAAATGGCAACGGAGGAGGAGGAGGAGGGGTCAGGAGGAGGAGGAGGAGGAGGAGGAGGAGGAGGAGGAGAGGAGGAGGAGGAGGAGGAGGAGGAGGAGAGGAGGAGGAGGAGGAGGAGGAGGAGGAGGAGGAGGAGGGAGGAGGAGAGGGAGAAAGAGGAGGAGGGAGGAGGAGAGGAGGAGGAGGGGAGGCAGGAGGAGGACGCTAGGAGGAGGACACTAGAGGAGAGGGGTGGGGGGAGGAGGAGGAGGAGGAGGAGGAGGAGGAGGAGGAGGAGGAGGAGAGGAGAAGAGGAGGAGGAGGAGGAGGAGGAGGAGGAGGAGGAGGAAGGAGGAGGAGGACAGGGAGGAAGGGTGAGGAAGGGGGAGCAGGAACGGGGAAGGATGAGGCTGGGGGAGGCGGAACAGGGGAGGGAGGAAGAGGAGAAGGTGAGGAGGGGGGAGGAGGAGGAGGGCCTCTGGAGAAAAAGGAGGAGTAGGAGAAGGGAGGAGGAGGAGGAGGAGGAAGGAGGAGGAGGAGGAGGAGGAGGGGAGAGGAGGACGAGGAGGGGAGGCGGGAGGCGGAGAGGAGGAGGAGGAGGAGGGAGGAGAGGAGAGGAGGAGGAGAGAGGAGGAGGAGGAGGCGGAGAGGAGGAGAGAAGAGGAAGAGGAGGCGAAGGAGGAGGAGGAGGCGGAGGGGAGGAGGAGGAGGAGGGGGATGAGGAGGAGGAGGAGGAGGAGGAGAAAGGAGGAGGAGGAGATGAGGAAGAGGAGAGGAGGAGGAGAGGAGGGAGGAAGAGGAGGGAGAGGAGGGGAGGGAGGAGGAGAAGAGGGGAGGCGGAGGAGGAGGAAGGAGGAAGGGTGAGGACGGGGGAGCAGGAACGGGAAGGATGAGGCGGGGGGAGGCGGAACAGGGGAGGAGGAAAGGAGGAAGGGTGAGGAGGGGGAGGAGGAGGAGGAGGAACGCTCGGAGGAGGAATAGGAGGAGGAGGAGGATGAGGAGGAGGAAGGAGGACGAGGAGGAGGCGGGGAGGCTAGAGGAGTGAGGAGGAGGACGGAGGAGAGGAGAGGAGAAGAGGAGGAGGAGGGAGGTGGAAGGGTGAGGACGGGGGAGGAGGAACGAGGAAGGACGAGGCCGCGGGAGCCAGAACAGGGGAGGTGGAGGAAGATGAGGAAGGGTGAAGAGGAAGATGAGAAGGAGGAGGAGGAGGAAGAGGAAGAGGAGGAGGAGGTGGCTCGGAGGAAGAGGAGGATGAGGATGAGGAGGATGATGGGGAGGAGGAGGAGAAAGAGGAGGAGGAGGAGCATGAGGAGCAGGAGGAGGAAGAGGAGGACGAGGAGGAGAAAGAGGAGGAGGGAGGAGGAAGGGTGAGGACGGCGGGGGAGGAAAAGGTAAGGAGGAGTCGAAGACGGATGAGGGGAGCAACGCCAGGACCCTCTGGAGTTCTGCAGCCCAATGCGCTGCCGCGCCGCCAGCTTCCCGACGACGGCAGTGCCAGCGCCGGCGCCGGCGCCGACGTTGATGACGTTGACGACGTCGTCGACGTTGATTACAACGGCAACGACGATGACGGCGGCAACGTTGATGACGTTGACGACGACGGCGACGACGAGGTGGCGGCGGCGGCGGCGGCGACGACGACGACGTCGGCAACGGCAACGGCCGCGGGCGGGCGGCATGGCGCCGATTCTTTCTCGGCTCGCCGCTGTGCCCGGACCAGCTCGTCCTTGGACTCCTCCTCGACCCTGCGCCTCGCCTGCGCGCGGCTTCGACGTTGCGGCGGCTGCGGGCAGCGGTGGCGGTGGGGAGGGCGGCGACGGCGGCGGCGACGACGGCGCTGGCGGCGATGCCGACGACGATGATGATGATGATGATGATGATGATGATGATGATGATGATGATGATGATGATGATGATGATGATGATGATGATGATGATGATGATGATGATGATGCTGATGCTGATGCTGATGCTGATGCTGATGATGATGATGATGATGTTGATGATGATGATGATGAAGATGATGAAGATGAAGAAGAAGAAGATAATAGAGGGGGCCCCAAGAGGCTCCCAAGAGGCCCCCAAGAAGGCCCGAAACTGCCCCGAACATGGCCTCGAGAACGCTCCCAAAAGACCCCCAAAAGCATCCCTGAGGACTCTGACCCACCACCCAGGCACGGTGGCGGGAGGGCCCGAAGGCCAGTGGGCAATGGACAAGGGAGACGACGACGGCGGCCGTGGCAGGGACGACGGCGGTGGCGCTGGCGACGGCGGCGGTAGCGGCGAGCTCGCGCGCATCCCGAGCCACCGCCGCGCGCCAGCGCGGCAGACTGCGAGGGCAGGGGGCGTTGGTAGAGGGGGGAGGAGGGAGGAGGACCGATGGGGGAGGAAAAAGGAGGAGGATCGACGGTGGGAGGGAGGGGGTCTCGAGAGAGGGGGGAGGGAGATCGAGGAATAAACGGCGAGATGGGGACGTAGGAGAGAGCGCGTTTCACGGGCGCTTGCCTTGAGAACGTTCGGCGGCGCGTTTCGAACCGTGGGGTGGGCCCCCCCCAACACCCGGCGCCGTCGATCAAAACCAGGGGGACCCCCTTCCCCCACCCCCCCACTCCCGAACCCCCCCCCCCTCCCAAGGGAGGGGGGGGGTTCATCCCCCCCCCTCCCCCGGCGCCGGCGCCGGCGGCCACCAGCAGCGCCGACGGCGGGGACGCAGCAACGATGACCAGAGGCAGCCCGAGGGGGGGGGTTCAAAACCCTCCCCCCCCCCCTGGCGCCGGCGCCAGCGCTGGCGGCGGCCAGCAGCGCTGGCGATGGCGTTGGCGCCGGCGATGGCGGGGACGCAGCGACGATTACCACCACTACCACCACCACACAACCACCACCACCACCACCACCGCCTCAACCCACCACCACCACCACAACCACCACACAACCACCAAAACCACAGCCACCACCACCACCACCACCACAACTCACCATCACCACCAACACCACAAAAACACACCATCACTATCACCACCACCACCACCACAATCTACCACACCCTCACCACCACCGCCACAACCACCACCACTACCAGCAGCACAATTCACTTCCACCACCACGAACCACCACACCACCACCACCACCGCCACCACCACCACCATCACCAGCACCACCTCCACAAACCACCACCACCACAAACCACCACCACACCACCACCAAACCACCACCACCACCACCACAACCCACTACGTACCACCACCACCACAAACCACCACCACACCACCATCAATCCACCACCACCACCCACCACCACAACCACCCACCACCACCACACCAAACAACCACAGCATCAGCAGCAGCAGCACCACCACCGCCACCACCACCACCACCGCCACCACCACTACCACCACCACCGTCGTCCTCGTCGACGCTCCCCGCCGCCGCTGCCGCCCGCCGCCGCAGGCGCCGGCGCCGGCCCAAAACAGGAAATCGTCGTCCGCGTTGCCGCCGCCGGCCGCCGCCGACGCAGGCGCCGGCCCGAGAAGTAGGGGAGGAAGGGGGGTGTCCGGTTCCAAGCCCCCCCCCGTCCAAACGACTACAGAACGCGCTCTTTCGGACGTATCGCTAAACACATGTCCTTCTGAACCACTCATTTCAGTCGAGGGGGCGAGAAGACGAGCGGAGCGAGCGGCAAGATTAAGCTACATCTTGTCTGAGAGAGAGCTCATGGCAAACTGCCATGGGGGTTCGGGATCGTCCGAGCCGCGCCCGGCCGGCCAACGCCAAGCTGGGTCTGCAACGAAGCGGAAGGACACAACCTGGCCAGAGCCACGGTTGAGCCTGCAAACTTAGACTTGCTGACTGCATGGTCTGGCCTGGCCAATTGCCAGCGGCAGCCACGCGGGGTCCGAAGTGGATGGGCCCAGGACGCACGCACCGTAAAATAGTAGAAGATTTCAGGATAACTTTGCAAGCGGAATGCCACAATAAAGGCGAGCTTGTCTCAGCGCGTGTTCCCACGCCATATGGGGGCATCCCACCGGCTCGTCATAAGCCAGGCTCAACCTTCGAGGTCGGAGCCCAGTGGGGAGTGCAAGTCTTCAGCTCGCGCTCGAAGGATTGCGTTCCCGACGTTATCTTCGAAGGCAAGTCCCGTTCACTACTGCCTTGGGAATGTCCATCGGCAGTCGTATCCCGAGCATCACACCATTGCATGCTGTGCGCGATGCGTCTATCCATCGCGACAGATTTGCACTTGCGCGTGTGTCCACGCCGGAGCAAGTTGGCACCGCTGATGCCATGCCCTTCCATCTCGTTCTCAGCGTCCCCATGTCAATCGTCGATACTAGCTGGAGTCGCTGTGTAGATCGACTTCTCCTGTGGGCTTCGTAGCAAAATAGACAATCTTCTGATGTTGACTCTGCAGCTTCCGCGTTTTTGAATTCAGCACCTGAATGTTCGTGGGTTCTTGGGTCGTTGTAGGGAGACAACATGCGCCATCAACCAGACCCCGGCCACGACGGCACATGTTAACGCCCCACGGAAACTAACAGACATGTCTGGTGCAAATTTCGTCGCTTCCTCCTCGGCCTCCGCCCCCGAAAGGTCGGTGTTGGATGAGGTGCGGCTGTTTCATGTATTCGCCCATGTCCAAGGTGGCATATCCACTTTCGTTCTTCGTGTGCCTAACGGCGCAGCTAGTGCAAGTATGTTTGTTAAGCTCACATGCGCCGAACGTGCCTTCGACGCATTTCACGTAGCGAACGATAGCTCCCCCTTTCCCAATCATGCCGATGTCGCCCGCGTGTTTGGTGGTCTGTAGCGTTTCCACTGTTTCAAGCCCTTCGTCGCAGGGCGTGGCTCGCAGGCCAGAGCCACGCGTGGCGTTGCGAAACTTCGGGGAGACAGCTCGCGGAGCATCCTTCGCCCCGGTGCCTGGCACCAGGCGCTGCAAGCAGTTGCGACTTTCGTCGTGCTTCTCGAACCCAGGGGGGATTCGCAACGCAGTTGCCGATCCAGGTGGTAGCGTAAAGCAGGCGATGCGTTCCCGATTGAGGAATGCCATGTCTATATCCATGGGCGCAATTCTCCAGTCAAGGTTACGTGCGCCTTCGCAGGCCAGTAGAAGCCGGCTTGGCCTTCTGGCTGTTCCTGAGGTTTCTATATCAAAGGCACCTGCGTCCATGAATCCTCGCAGGGCAAGTCCCAAGCGAATTGTCCCGACCATTCTGCTTTGCCATTCTTGACGGACTTCCATATATATATATGTATATATAAATGACGTGATGTCATGACGATTGAGGCGTCTGAAAGAAATGCCATCTTGAAACACTTGTTATCAAGCCAAGTCAGTAACTCCGTGAAAAGTGCCTTGCCTGCCTGCGCTGGGCTGGCTGCCATCTCGGCCTCAGTGGGCAGGTCGTCTTCATTTACCGCCACCGCCCGTTAAGCGGATGCGGATACGCATGGCCGCACTTTGGCAGCGCTGTCGTTCTGCAATAGACTATGCTGCTGTTCTGCAAGGACAACCTTGGCCATGTCGGCTATAGAACGCAGCTCTATACTTTGGCCATGCCAATCTCCATCAAGCGTATAGTCTTCGTCATAATGAGGGTTCACGGGGACATGGTAAACGTCTGACCTGTGGTAATGTGCGTCTCCGCGATGACGAGTATCTGGGTCGTCGATGGTTAGTAATCAAGACCGTCTGGTCGGATATCATCATAGTTGGTAGTTTGCCACGAGGTGCCAGTGTCGTAGTGTCAAGATGCTCGCGCTCGCCCTCAAGTCCTGCATGCCAAGCTTCGGGGACAGAAGCCTCAAGGTCGTCTTCAGACTCTTGGATCGCAGGGGGCGCCCTGTAGGCGGGGACACTTCGTTCTCGGGCGTTCTCGCCAGTCGCGAGCCACCGCGCGGCGCAGGGCAAGTCCCAAACGAATTGTCCTGACCATTTCTGCTTTGCCATTCTTGACGAACTTCCATTTCTATATGTGACGTGAGGTCATGACGTTTGAGGCGTCTGAAAGAAATGCCATCTTGAAGCACTTGTTATCAAGCCAAGTCAGTAACTCAGTGAAAAGTGCCTTGCCTGCCTGCACTGGGCTGGCTGCCATCTCGGCCTCAGTGGGCAGGTCGTCTTCATTTGCCACCACCGCCCGCTAAGCGGATGCGGAGACGCATGGCCGCACTTTGGCAGCGCCTTCGTTCTGCAATAGACGATGATGCTGTTCTGTAAGGACAACCTTGGCCATATCGGCTAAAGAACACAGCTCTATACTTCGGCCACACCTGTCGCCATCAAGCGTATAGTCTTCGTCATAATGAGGGTTCACGGGGACATGGTAAACGTCTGACTTGTGGTAATGTGCGTCTCCGCGATGACGAGTATCTGGGTCGTTGATGGCAAAATGTAAACAAGACCGTCTGGTCAGGCATCATCATGCGTGGTAGTTTACAACGAGGTGCTAGCGCCATAGTCTCAAGATGCTCGCGCTCACCCTGAAGTCCTGTATGCCAAGCTTCGGGGACATGCGTCTCCAGGTCGTCTTCATATTCTTCTTGGATCGTAGGGGGGCGCCCTGTAGGCGGGGGCGCTTCGTTCTCGGGCGTTTCCGCCGGTCGTGAGTCACCGCGCGGCGCAGGGCCGCAAGCGCCCCCCTTGAATTTTCGGGAGTTCCTCATCGAAGCTAGCCTGAGGCGTAGATGGCTTCAGGCGCTGTATTACCCTGTATGTGTAGACCCACTGATCGCGCGCGTGTCGAGGGCTGTGCCGTTCGACTCGTAGCAGTGGAAGCCCTGTTGTAGCATCTCTGTCATTGTAGACAGGGTTTCAGCTGTCAGCGCACGTGGCCGCCGGCAGTCGGTGGATACTTTCCGCGAGTCGGCCTGCGACCGCATTTTCGATCCTGAAGTAGTTTCAGATCGCATATTATAATGCTAAATGCACCTTGGGTGAAAGTTTGCTGGGCGTGGTCATCCGCAAGTCTCCTTCCTTTGGTGGTAGGTATCCAAAGGTCATCGCAAGTCTCCCCGCAGGTAGACGCGCGATAAAGGCAAGTACCGTTCGAAATGCTGCGTTGTCCGAGCCAAGTTCTCGGACCACCAGCACCTCAATGTAAAGCTCGTGTGTCTACGGTCTGGGTAGTGAACAGCACCTTCGCGATTGCCGCGACCCGCGCTATTGCTATCCATTTCAGGGTCGCTGCGGGCGGCTGGGCGTGGACCGTTCCAACGTCCCCAATCGCCCTTCGTTGTGGTGCGCTGGTGGTAATCCACTAGATCACCGTCGAGATAGAGGATCTGGCCTGGTGGCGTCGTCTGAGTGCGGAATGCTCGGTTAGCTTTCGCTGCCGCAGTCGCCTGAGTGATGGCCTCCAGGCTGATCTCGCGCATCCGCTGTTCTCGCGAGTGGTCTGACGTTTCCGTCCTTTGTTCGTGGTCCAAGGACGGCGCATCTGGTGGACGTGCTTGCTGACGTCCGTGCAGCGCCTGATCCGGATACACTCCATTGTAGAATGTAAAGGCGCTGGTCACAAACATTGCTTCATGCAATGGACGGAAAAAATTCAGTGGCATGTTGCGTCGCTTCAGGTCTTCATCCATCACGCGCCGTGGAATTCCATTTCTGGATTCTATGATTGTGGCGGGTTGTCCGTGTGCTCGGATCCTAAGTTCACATCCTCTGTTTCCATGAGTGTCCCGAGCCGCGTCGTTTTTGAGGGCCCCCTCTCCATCGGAGTACAGGGCCTTTGCCAGGCCGCGGTGTAATCGCGCGCAGTGGTATGCGTCCAACGCTGAGGTCGTGGATTTGTCGAAGATTTCTGGACCAGCTGCAAAACGCATGCGTCGGTCTATTGTGGATAACTATGTGATTTGTTATAACAGAGCAAGTCACATTCGCGCTCCGCATTGAATTTCTTTGGCAAGGCCACCGACGGCATGGCGGTCTTGCCCGGCTTCTCCCACGCCCGGCGCTCTCGACGCGAGTCGCGCGCGTCTTTGACCAGGTAAAGCCGGTCACTGTCCAGACCTAGCTTGGTCGAGATAAACCTCATCCTAGGCTCCTTAGCACGGTGTCACCCTAGGCGTAGCTGTCGGAGCTCTTTGGTGAGAACGGTTGGGTCGGGACTTCGGAGGTTCTGTAGGCTGACCTGGACATCGAAGCGAGTCCAGTCCGGAAGTCTTGGGGCAAGCGTTTCCGCGGCGGCTTCCGCCGCGGGCGGAGGCGGCGGCGGCTCTCCACGCAGTGAGCGCCCCCGCCGGCTGGTGACCCTTAAGTGGTCATCGGCGCTCCCCGCGCCTGCCCCTCTTTCCCGCTGGCATGAATTCCTCTCGTCATGTCGTGACTCGCAGCACCCAGAGTGACATCTGCAGAAGGGCGTGGGCGAGGTGTAAAATAGTCTGGGTTTACGCGAGCTGAAAGCCGTCTGCCCCGTCGTTGCGTGTCCGCCTGTGTTTCGCGTTCTGCCGGTGGGGCTGGCGCATCCGAAGCCATGTGTGAGGGGCAAACTGCAGGTTGATGCGGGGCACGTGGCATTCCGTAAGGTTTTGCGAATCTGCGCTTGGCAGGTATCTTCGCATGTCCTGCCTCATTCGAACCGTGCTTCTTCACGCAGGCGTCGCGCTCCCAGTCGATGGGGCCCGCGTCGTGCCATCGACGCGCGCGTGGGCCCCTTTTGTGTGCAGGCGCACCCTTTCGGATGGTATCAGCACAGGCAGGGCGCCCTTGGTCTCCGGGAGGCGGCCTGGATATAGCGCCCGAGGGGCCGAGCGGCATGTCCTCGGCGTCGAAAATAAAGTTTGCAACGTTGACCGCAAATGCTGGGGTGCGTCTCCGCTTTTTTAACTGGGTCGACAAATGATTCCAGGAGCTTCTTCGCGATGCGGACAGCATCAACGAGGAGTGATTGACGCTTGCGCGCGCGTATTGCTGTGCTGCATTAAGCTCCTCATTGCACGCCCGCGCGTATTCACGCCGACCGTTGCACCTCGCACCTTGGAGAAGGTGTCAAAATAGCAGGATGATTGCGCAGAGTATGTGTAGGCTTCCTGATGAGGGTGCCATGTGAGTCCCTTAGCCCTGCGGCGCATTGGTCTACTGGGAACTCGCGTATGCACGTGCGTTCCTGCAGTGTGCGCCAGACAGATATCTCGTAAATC